GAAAAGTTGGGAACATGTATTAGTATATACTGCCAATTTAAACGATTATATTTAGGATCTCTTTTATTTTTAGTCATTAAAATTTTCAACATCAACAAAATTTGAAAATTAGTTTCTTCTCCCAGCTAACAAATTCTTTCTATGACCAAAAAAATACATGTTAAAATCTTAATTTGATAAACAGGATATATCAGGTTAACAATTACATACGCTTTCCAATTTTGTGAAAAAATCCGGCAATCTGTCACAAATTACATAAAGACTTGGAATGTCAGATTGATTTTATGAAGCTAAATGAGAAATGTTTAATGAAATAAGCCCAAACATGATGTTAAATCATGGTTACTTTTATTCTTGACATCCTCTAAAGATAGGAATAAATGTCAAAGGTTTATGAAATAACGCCATATATTCATCATATTCCAGAATTTCTTGAATATCATCAACAATTCATTTTTATGTTAAAAAAAAAAATATTTACAAGTAGAGGAAAACACTTAAAGATAATGGAAATAATAAAGTAAGTAATTCAGCAATAATCGAATCCTAGATTTTGACAAATATATTTCAACTTTACTCGATGCTGCTTCAAAACCGCAAATAATTGACATTAAATAATTCATTCTTTTGATTATTACATCATTCGCTATCGTCTTCAAGGTCTTATATCAAATATAGACATTCAAGCATTAAAGATTTTTTATGAAGAAGTGTTAAACGCAAATCTTAAAGTGTTCAGTCAGTTCCACTAAATTCGATCCCTGAGAAATGAAAATAATGTTCACTTTGCCTGTTTTTGTTACAGTCTGCCCCACATATAAATCATGTAATTCGTTACTTAAAGCATATATTTTTATTTACTTAAAAGCTTATTTTAATTGTGAAATAATGATGTGAAATATAATATTTGTATAAAGATAACTAACTAATAATTTAATTTTGTTGACATATTCAGAAAAATTTTTAACATATTTTAACAATTATTAATAATATGGTTGGTATTAATATGGATATGATGAATACTGAGAATGGTAATAACACTAGCATTGAGAATATTATCGCTGATGAATTGATTACAATGGATCAACAAACTGAAACCAATAACTGCAACAATAATAACCTTGATATTAATTCTAGACTTTTTTTATCACGTTTCAGCATTACTGATGATGCAAGTCGTGAAGAAAATAAAATAATGGTATGATTATAGGCATATAATTACATAATTATGTTTTTATATCATACAGTCAAATCTTACGATGAATTTTGTCACAAAGATTTATATATATATATATTAAACTCGCATATTTTCATTAGATTAAATTAAAAATAAATTAAAACAAATTAAAAATAAAAATAAATTAAAAAATAAAAAGTAATAGTAGTAGTAAAATGAATTAGAATGAAAATGAAAATGCAACCATAATTAATTGCATGCGGAAAACATCTAGAATTATCCGTAGTAAAAATTTCACTTGAGATTATCCAATAAACTTTT